AGTGTTAGCTGACAGATGTGTTTCCTGTCTTTGCAATTACTGTCTGTTTGCTTCCCTCTGGCAGTGCTAAAGAGTGTGTGTAGTGTAGTGATACAATCCGGGGTGAGAAGGATGGTTTAAAGCTCAGAGGCGCCAGGTCCCCGAGAACTGGGCTCCAGATGGTGTTCATACACTATTAACAGAATGCTTGACAAAGTCTGAGGAGGGCTGTGCCTTTGGCTGTAGCTCATCTCGCTGCAGTAGCTGCTGCTTCTGACTGAAACCGTGAAGAGCTGCAATTTTGTGAATATTGGAACATGATTCCACCATGACCAATGTTTGGTTTAGTACATGCTTCTAAAAATTGTATTTTTCGGATGCTTTTGGAGGGGATAGCCAAAGGGGAAGGTGTGATGGTGTCTCCCAGCAGCCAGGCTAGACAAACCACGCAGGCGGGATCCTTTCTGCTGAAAGGCTGGGAAACGTAGAGGCAGCTGCCTGCAGCAGCGAGGTGCACCAGAAAGAATTTGTGCTTCCCGCGGCCGGTGGGTGGGTGGGTCTCGGTCTGGATGCACGCCTCTTCCTTCAAGAGCGCATGTCTCCGTTTCAGATTGAAAGGGCAGAGTCTTTACAACTGCTCTGATAATTGTCACTGCCGCAGGTTTGTGAGTGATGTGGGAAAGCGGTAAAGGCTTTGCATCCTCCCGCCCGGGGGCAGGGGTGAGGATGAGGCCGTGCCACGCTGCCAAAGTTTTCAGTGATGCTCTGGAGCCACCGGCATGTCTTGACTTCACCTCGGTAATGTGGTCTCAAAGCGAAGCTTCAGCTGCAGGCTGACTGCTGATCACATGAATATTTTAGTTGCAGCGTTGTTTTAGATGAACAAGGCAGAGCATTTATTCAAGAATGCCTGCTTTAATGGTGTTCCCTTTCAGTGATGTTCCCCTTCGCTGTAGCCTTTTGTGGCTAACCAGTCCAAATCCTCCCGTGATCAACGGGCGTGCTGCTCGTAGCCGGAGGAGGAGGAGCTGGGACTCCAGCCAGGATTAGTTTTCTATATCGGGAACAAATTTGCTAGTAATTGGAGATACTGGTTGGCGGCACTTATCAAGGCTCGGTCCGCCAGTTCCTTGTAGGTGATGGTGAAATGCCTGGGCTGCCCTGGCCATCGATAGAGGACCAAACTTCCCAGGCTGTGCCCTGTGCTGTATGTGCATGGGAGCACGGCTGCTGGCTGGACAAACCGTACTGATAGCACAGGCTCTGCTCAGAGCTTTAGCAGCATTTTAATTTGCTTGTGGGCGTTCTGTGGTGGTCTGTCTGGGGAGGGCTGAGGTACGTGTTACATCTGCGGGGTCTCGGCTGTGACAAAGGCAGCAACCCCTGCGCTCAGATGAATTAAGTCACTGTAGCCGTTGTGAGAGAATGAGCCAGGCCCAGGCAGTGGAGTTGGGTTTACTCTAGAGTTGGGATCGCTCTGTGTGCACCCACAAAAGGACAGGCAGGGTGGTTAGCAGGAGCGCATCGCACCGTGTCCTTCCCGCTTGTGCTGCCTGCGTGCCCCTGCCTCCATCCTGCCTGCGCGTCGGCCGCGTGCCGCCCTGCAGGAATCCCCGCCGAAACGTGCATCGGGCCCAGCGACGACTTGAAGCACGGGGCCTTGCTCCATCCGAGCTGCAAACCTCACCGGGTTCATTCAGCAATGCAGCTGAAGCCGTGTGCTTGATAGCTGTATGGTCATGCTTTTAATTACCATTAAAATAATTGGCACTGTGGCTACTGGGAGGATGTGAGAAGATCAGAGGCTCAAGGCTGTTTCTCCCGGTGCCTCGGGGGTACGGACAGCTTTCAGTGTCTGTGTAATTAAAAGCTACAATCTTTCATGTGCACAATAAAGAGGGTTGGGAGGTGGGGAGACTTCAGCCCTTCTGCATTTTATTTATTAAACATAATCAATGACCAGTCTCTCCTCTTCGCAGAGGAAACACTGGTGTTGACAGCCGTGCTCCAGTATCTTAAGATACACAAGTGCTGTTCAGACTTCTTGCCTGCAAAGCCTTGAACTGGCTTGTGACCCGGCACTGGGCGGGAAGGGGAGTGCAGTTGCACAGGAGAGCTCTGTTCAGGACACATTTTTAAACCCGTCCCTCTACTTGCCCCTTTCCTCGGAGTCCGCTTTCGCTGGCAAGGCCCTCCCTGCCTGTCTGCTCCGGAACATTCCTGGTAGCGATCTCATTTTTCTTTCCTTCCTTCCTTCACCCCCCCGATTGCGCCCCTGTGCCCCGCGCTGCTTCCCCGGCCCTCGCTGTGCTCTGCGGGGTCCCCCCTGCTTCAGGCCCTGCTTCAGCCTCCTGCTGACCGCGAGCTGCTGGTCGTCTGATGGTCCTGGTCACCTGCTCTCGTTCTCTGAAGTGAGCCAGAAATGCCCCAGGAAAAAAGATTTTAATTAAAAAAAAAAAAAAAAAGGCTTCGAAAGGCCCAGTGTCAGGAGTAGCAGATGAGAGGTGGTGGTTGCACTCTCTAGAGCCACGCTAAGCCACCGAGCAGGGAACCCCTAGGTTGTGCGGAAGGTGTCGGTCTTCAGTGCGGGAAGTTTGGTGGGAAAGGTTCTTCCTGGTCCTTTTGTAGCGTGGGGGACACGGGACGGGATGGACGGACGCGTGCCTGCAGTCCGCCCAGGAACGTCTGCGTAAGAGAGGCCCCCAGCTCCTGTCCTGGACCCCGGTGGTCGGACACCCGTTCCCACAGCCTTTTCCAGTAAGAAATCGGCCGATTCGTTCACATTTGCCTGCCTGTTTTCCTGTCTTTCAGCTGCGGGAGCTGGTCAGCATGTGCATATACCCAGATCCAGATCAAAGACCCGACATTGGTTACGTGCACCAAATAGCAAAACAAATGCATGTTTGGACCTCCAGCACATGAACCATCTGCGGACGCTCTCAAGAAGCCAGCACAGCTCAGTCTTACTTGAATTTTTTTCTCAGATGAAACCGCCTGGTGCCCAGTCACCCAGTGAGAGGGTTGAGCGCTCGTAGCGAGACGCTCCATTATTTGTGCAGGTTATTTGACAAGGACTCTTACAAGGTGGTCATGCTTTAACGTGAAGATTCTGTGAGGTATTGCAAGTGATTTTTTTTTTTTTTTTTTTTAAGGCCAATAACATGTTACAGACGTAGATCATTTAAGGGTCCTTTCTTAAAACTGTCGTGTGTAATCTAGGATAGATATTAACCAGGGTGTCCGAGCATTTGACGCACCCCTTCTATCTTAACTGTAATGTGAAATATTGAAATAATTCCTTCAGTGAAATCACTTTATACTAATGTAAAATTACAGTAGATTTTGTGTAATTTGTATAACTGCTACTTCGCCTCTTCTGCAAATGGTTAATAGCAAATTCAGTTTTTACTTCGTATATTTTAAAGCAGCCATTTATGTGTTTTTATTAATTCCCTCCTCTTCAGACTTAGGAACTGGGAAGGGCTGGGGGGTGGGAAACACATTTGTTTCAAGGTTTCTTTTTTTTTAATTGAAAATTTAGAGTGAGTATTTCGCTGATGCATTTCTCTGTTCACTTGGCTCAGCCAATGCGATGAGGTAAGCGGGTACCTGGGGAGAAAAGAAAAACGTGCCAACCTGACCCAAAACAAGCGTTGCTTCTCTTTAGCCTCCTTTGGCATGATTCTTTTTAGACTACAGGTTCTTGTTAAAAACCAGTGTTTATCTAAGCCAGCTAGATTTTGGTGAAGATACTTTTACACGGTCGGTAGTACCTTAGGTACTACAGGGAAAAGTTAAGCAAAGCAGTGTTTTAAACACTTTGAAAATTTTTAAAAAAGAAGTAAAATGCTTTGTGTATCTAATTCTACATGAGGATCAGCCCCCGTCTATTTAACTGTGAAAGCTAATTTACAGAATGTGAATTTTTATAAAATCTCAACCTGATTTGAAGGAGTCATCTTCTTTAACTACATGGAAATTTTCAACCAACTAAATTCATTCATTGAATCAATGATTTGTTTCATTACTGTTGATGAAAACTATTCACTGCTTTAGGAACAAACGTGGATTCACGTTCAAGTGTTTCCATTTCAGTTGCCCGTTCAGAGGAACGGGGCTGCAGGCGAGGTTCTGGAGGACGACGGCGGGGACGCTCCTCAGCCTGCGCTGTCGCAGCGCTGCTTCCCTGCGTGACGGTGGCTCGTGCCAAAGTGTAGATTCCTGTGTGACAGTTCAAATGCAGCCTGTGCCTGTTTGGTTTTTTCTTAAGAAAAGCATACAATCCTTAATTTTTTGGAAATAAGATTAGGGTTAGAGGGTTACGTACATATATATGCTTTTAGTGGATTGTTTTTTAACCTAATTTGCTCTACTTAAAGGAAAACTGCAGTGCCATCGTCAACTACTTCCCATCAAATTTCGAAATACTTATATAGGGTAGCGAAGAAAAGCTATTAATTCCTGTGAATAATGTTGGTATCGGTAATGCAAGGTGCCATTTTATTGAGTCTTCTCAGCAGAACGCTGAGCCTGCTGCTCTCACGAGAGTCGGGAAATTCAGATCGGCGTGAGACTGCAGCGGAGGCCCCAGATCGCTCCCCCGCTCCCCTGCGAAGTTGTTTTAATTTATGCCCAGCTGCTTTAGCAATTCGCAGCCTTACGACGGACGGCCGTCGCTTCTGCACTGCAGCTTTCCTTTAAGGCACGGTGGCAGCTACGCGTTCGGAGGGATGGTTGTGCTGCGCCTCTCGCTGTAACACAGAAAAGGATCCCTGGCTCCGGGGAGCCCAGCTTCGACTTGAGCGTCTCGAGAAGCCCGGTCACTTTCTTGCTACATAGAATTTATTAGTGCTTATAAGTAAATGTATTTCAAAAGGTAATTTTTTGCAATTGTGCATTTTTAGATAAATAAAAAAATGATTTACAAAATAAACACCTTTGTTTAAAAAAAAAAAAAAGTCCAGTATTAAGGGAAAAGTAAAGAAAAAAAAATAAACCCTTGAAAACAGGCCTAAATCTGTGCGAAACTGTTCCGTACGGCCATCAGAAAACGGACAACTGGACTAGGGGACCTGCCTCAGCTGTCCTGATGGAAAACTACGCATGCGAGTCTTCACCTCTACATTGCGGCACATCTACAGCTGGGTTTGTGGCTGTTTGTTGCAGGATGCTAGGACTGGGGCCTGGTACCAGTTAACCTTCTGATGCTACACCTTCCCTAGTGACTAAATGAGAAGGTAATTCGGCAGCTGGAGTTCCAGCTAGCTTTTCTTTGTTTCTTTTTTTTAATAAGGATTATGTGGTACTATAGGAACAGTTTGCAGTCAGTTTATCTCCAATTGCACGAGCTCAGGATTTCAGCACAAGGAAGGTCCAAGTGGAAGCTTGCAGAAAAATTCAGGCAAGTAACAAGACCGTTAGACTTTGAATTAGGCTGTCTCCAGTCATGTCATTTAGAAATGAAAATGCATGTACCAGTGCAGAGGCTGGATCTACTCTGCATCCTGTCTGTGTCTACAAAAACCAGGGAAGAATAAATATTAACATGTCATGATAACAGTATTATTTCCCTGCAGCAATGTAAGTAGAAGCAGCCTGCTGCAGGTCAAGGTCAGCAGTTCAGAACCTCCCCTGCTCGCTATTTTCATACCCTTTCTTGATCTGGTACGTATCCATCAAGAACAGAACAGTTTGTTAAATTAAAACCTGTCCAATGGGGCTTACGCAGAGCAGTTTTACCCTTGCTGTTTTGTTCCTAGAGTGAAGGAAGAGAGCAGCTGCTGTACGTGGTGGGTTTTCTGCCCCACGGGACAGTACGATGCTTGGAGCCGCTCCAGGAGCCTGGCTCGCTCTCAGCTTAATGCAGATCTTTCAGGGTCAAGTCCAACTTACTGCACAGCCACACCACTAAGAAGAGCGGGTAAGGCGCTGCACTTCTGTGCTGCCTGAGCCTCGCGGTTTCAACACTGTAAGAGGGAAGAGCAGCAGAAGAAATCGGCACCACATAAAAACACCAATTAGGAGAATGGTGAGAACCCTCTTTATTCTGGCCCAGCCTCAGGTTTCTCCTGGTGCTGGAAGGCTGCTAAACACAACTGGCGCTGGGCTGCGGGGGCGCAGAAGGGCTGTGCCCGACGCTTCAGGAAGTGTCCATGGTTTGCACAGTTTCATCCACCACCTCGATTTCCAGGAGTGCTACGTTTTCTGTGAGAACAGCGGTGGTTCCTTTTTCACACTTGTATCTACCGTACCTGTTAAAGAAATAGGTGAAAATTAAGCTGGACGGTAGCACTAGGTAGGAGAAGTCCCATTTAAAATTTTAGAACTCATCAGCTTTCTCAGGAAGTTTCCTGTAAAAGTCCAAGTAAGTAAAGGAACTGCACTTACTGGAAATAATAAACTGATTGCAATAAAGTTTCAGATAAACTAGCATTTTTAGGAAACACAGTCCTATAACAAAAATAAATTACCAAGTAACTGGAAAGGCTACTTTATAGAAATAAGTGGGATCTCATTACAGCCTAGGCCATTCTTGCTGTGTACCCTCACTCAAAGAACAAGCAATTTATTTATTTTTTGCAACTGTGGAATAATTTTACCAGTGTATTAGCTTTGGGTTGCTGTGCTAAAATTAGCTAATATTTAACACAAAGACTGCCTGTAATCAAGCTGTGCTTCCAAAATCTTAACTGCATCTGATGAAAGGCGTTGTGACCCTTTTCACCCACTACAGCAGGATCCAAAATCTCACTTCAGAAAGATGCGCAGTAAAAGCTTGCTCCTAGCTCCCTCCGACAGCTGTGACACGCCACGCTCGCGAAGTTGTACAGTAAGAAAGCCAAAAGACCTTTAAGTGGAGCAGAGCAGTTCTTTGTGGCTTTGGCCATAGTGTCTGCCTTAGAAAAAAGGGGAAAATCCATTTCTTTAAACTCTACTATTTTGGCAGGGGATTGAAAAAGTTGCACAACTTGTTACCCGTAACATAACAGTACATATTGCAAAATCCTTGAGCTGCCTTGGGAGCTGTGATTTCACAGATGAGGCAATGCAGTTCACCAGGCAGCTCCCAGGGTTTAGCAGTGCAATTCGCCAGCTCCTCTAACGCTCGCATTTTGCTCACTTTACAATTTCATCACCTCTGGCTGTTATCAGTATTACAAGACGGCACAGTACATGCTTAAATGTAACCTTGTTCCCAAAGAGCTGCACAGTGGAATGTTTTGAGGCAAAATTTAAGAGATTCAGCATTAGTGCCTTCAGGAAACAGTGTCACCTCGGTGAAGGAGTCACAGTAGTTTCGGTTGCTGTGCGGCTTCCCCTGTGCTTTAAGGAAATGAAGAGAGCTGTGAAATGGGGGGCTGGCCAGAGCTGTCTTTCTGCTGTGGCTTGCCAAAGGGAAGAGCTAGGGAAAAAAAAGCACGAGTTTCTACATAGTGGAAACGGTTAAGCGAGGACTGTTTGATTGGGAAGGCATGACTGCTTATTATTTACACATGAAATGGTTTAGTCCAACTAAGAAAAAAAAAATTCTTGTGACCGCTATATTTAGCTATTAACTGTGAACTGTCCTTTCAACACACCACAGCGTATTGCCGGACAATTCTGAGGAAACTGCAGTGATCGAAACAGTGCCTGTGCTCTCTTGATCTCGCCTAGTGCATGTTTTCCAGCCACTGGCTAAAGGGGCTTCTAGAAATAGAAAAAACACAGCCTAGGAGTCACGGGCCAGAGTTGTGGAGTTTCCTCTTGGTTTTTGGTTTCATCCCTGCAGCGAGTTCAGCTGTAGTGGCTAAGGACAGGCTGTGCTGCCCGAGGCTGCTTTTTCACATCCCCATGCTAAGATCAGGCAGCGCTACAGAGGGTACGGCCATGCCGCTCATCTTGCTCACACCGCACACATTTCAGCAAGAACAGAGCAGAACGAGACTACGTTGCCACCTGGTAGCAAAAGCAACGCAGGCATCGGCTCGGCCGCAACCGTGGAACTTCCTGACTTCCGCAAACCGCCTGAAGCTCGGGAGCAGCCGCTTGGCCTGGGAAAGTGGTGGCAGGTAAGAAATGCATTTGTTTCCTTCACACGTCTGTACCTGCCGCCAGCACCTCTGTTCAGCTGCAGGTACAGCTGCTGATTTTGTTTCCTTGTTTAGCTGAAATCAATATACAGATCTAGAGATGACTCTGACACAATTTAGTATTGTAGAAAATACAAAAAGCTGG